TTATGTGCTTCTACTACTGCTAAAGACTCTAATAATGAATAAATTATGGATTGTCATGAAAATGATTAATACTATATTAAGATATGCTTATGTAATTCTCATTCTCTGCTACCATACAATTCAAAGATCCAATCAAAAATTTATTCTGGGACTTAATTGTAGAAAACACTAAAAGTGGGGGGGGGGACCCTAAAAAACGCTTGTGTGATTGTACAGGAAAATCAACTTTTTTCAAAGCACACACTTTTAAGATTATGCAATCTCTTATTCTGGGATATGATTTTACAAATGCTGATTGTGTAATAATAGTTTATGTAATAGTAGATCACAGTTATTCCTAAAAAATTACAATAGTTTCATGCTCATTCCTCTTCTCCCTTATTTACCTTCTATTGTAAATTTCATTTTAATGCATATTGTGAAATAAAAAATGTACAAGGAAATCACAGTGAAACTTAGTGCACATCCCTCAAACAGATACTGAGCACATTAATATACAACAGTACACCAGAATTCTGACTTTTTCAGGAATAATCAACAAGCACTAGCATTTCACATAATCCCAGATAGCATTCTCCATGGTCTGATTGTTGTGATATTCTCTTTTCTTACCTGAGAAAAAAAGGTAAGAATAAACTGTGATGTCTGATTTTGTTTTGTTTAGAAAAGAACAGGGCAGAGTTTCTGGTTTACATACCATGACAAAGAAACTTTAGACAGAACTTGTCCTTGAGGGCTCTCATGGGAGCTAACAAGCATTCTGGTTTACTGTTGCATATGAATGCAATTACAAATTCAGCTGAATACAAAAAAATGATGAGATAGAAAGAAAAGGAATAAATGAAAACGTACAAGGGGGGAAGTAGCTCCAGGATGCTGGACGGGCTCCAGGGGCAGGGGAGACTGGGAAAGCACAATTTAAGAAAAAAATACATTATTAACAGGAACATCCACCTGGAAAAAAGACATTTTCATTTCAAAACACTGGACAGTTGCATATACTCATTTCTTTACCATTGTCCAAAGAGTTAAATGTCATATAGGAACCTAATTCTGCTTGTGCTGAGCATTTCCACAGCTGTTTGCACATGCTCCAAATCTCTTCTGAAAATCAATGGAAACTTCTATTGCTCAGAATTACATTGTAATTAGGGTGCATCAGCAAAACGTGTTTACTTTCAAAACACTTAAAATCATTCAGTTAGAGAATGAGTTACCATTCCTCAGCTGACTAACCACTTCCCATCAGCACAAAGAGACACAGAAGATCTTTTCCATAACCATAGAAATGACTATCTACCTGCATCATTTCCAACACTAGAGTAAAGCTGAGCGGGGCATCTCTGTTGAGAGGAGTCCTCTCTCCCCCCTCTTTGCAAAAGCTGTAAAAATGCTCGTAACTACTCCTAACCAGAAAAACTAAACAGTTGCATTTTGAATGACAATGCTGTTTCATTCGTATATACCCACTGCAGCAGCATCCTGGCACAACCACTTGGCTGACTTCAGAACAACGCCATGAAAAGCTAAAGGATTTCACAGAGGTTTATTTAGTACCAAATGCCAATCTGTAAACTGACAGGTGCTCAGTGGATTAATCAGAAGCTGAAAATACAAAGAATCCCTTTGAGAGCCTACTGTATTGTTAATCCCAAATATGCTTTCCTTCTCCTTTCCGACTATTTTAAAGCTGCTCACAAAGGAAGGTATTTCATGATCACTAGCTTTCAGAAATGGCAAAGGTGTTATTGAGTTGTGCACCTTTCCCAAACTTTCCAGTTGCAAGAAAAGTCAATTAGACTAACACACACTTCCTTGTGGACCAGTTCAATCACCTGGCTCAAGGGGGCTGCTTGAATTGCTTCATGTATCAGATCTCTGCTTATATGCAGCCTGTCACGTGTTGCTGTTCCTCACCCAGAATGTGTATAACCCAGCAAATTCAGCATTTTCAGGCATCTGTAATGGTACATATTCCCCATGGCTGTGGATGACCTGCTGGTATAGCTGTAAGGCCACCCATTCAGTGATTCCAAAATGGCTGCCAAGTCTCCCAGTCCTGTATAAGTTGCCTAGATAATCTTGATTTCTATTTTATATGAATATAATGGGATATGATTAACTATTGCACTTTTAAAAAATATTATTTTAAAAAGGTACTGAAAACAAAAGGCAAAACAAAAGACTATCAGATTCATGAGCTATTATACATTATCCCACAAAATAGGATTACATTTATCCATGCACTGCCAGGATGAAATCCATTTGCATAATAGTATTAGCAATGTCTTCAAGTTCTACAAAATGCACAAATGTTAAGAGCTTTTTAACAGCATGTGTTTCCTAGACAAGCAACTCCAAATCACATCTTATGTTTTGTTAATGTGCTATTTCTAGAATCTCAAATGTTAACAAAAGCACTTCCTAGACAACATCTGAAAAGCAGATGTAAATTGAGATGAACAGCATGAGGTTAAGTTCACAAGCAAAACATTCACACAAAGTTGATGACATCTTTGAAAGACCTGCAATGATATGACAACTAATCCAAATGATATGGATAGCAACCAAAAGAAAAGAATCAGAAGAGAACAATAACAACATGAAGAAACCTATTTGCATGGTATTATAAAGCAGACAGAGGTGAAACACCTGTTCCATCTTTATCCTTTATGGCACTAGTCAAAAGACTGATGACATTTGGATTCATACAACTAGGAATGGAATTATACACCAGAACAGAACAGGCAACATCCATGTCTGTACTTTCTCTTAGAATTACAAAGGTAGACATCATTATAACTAATCAACATCATAAGGAATACATGTAGCATTTTCCCCAACAGATGCATTTAGTCCTACACTCCTGAGTTTAAATATTTTGGGAATGAGGAGATCATTGTATTTTCCTTCCCAGAGGTTTATCCAATTGTAAAAATTATTACTATTCCCTACCTTTAACCCAAATTGCAACAGAGTGATTTAAAAGGTTTGGCAGATCAATCTGGAATTAGGCAGTAAGTTTCAGAGAGAAAGTACGTTGTGGATTTGATCCAAGTCCACTGTTATCCCAGGCATTTCAAATTGGACAATCCTTTAAGATCAGTTTTTTTCAAACTATGTGGCATGGAACTCTATGGTCCCACAAGAACTTGATGTAGTTCATGTGGGACTGAGGGGGGAAAAAAAAAGTTTGAATGCAGCCAATTTTCTATCACTGAAGTTTGCCACTTGATCAGGGATTTCCAGATTTTTTTTTTAACTAGCAGGTTCTGCAGCCCAAAAACATCTGAAACCCTGTTTTAAGTGACCACAGAATAAGTTAGCGCTGACAGGGAACAAAGCAAGTTTGTTTCTTCGTCTATTAAGAGAACCTGTTTTGATATGCTGACTCTCATATTCCATCTACATTTTCCATCTATATAATTCTGCCTTCTGGTGTATGATGAAACAAGCCTCATGTTCAGGTTTGTTTAATCTTATAATATGCTTTGCAACCTTTTGTCCCTATGGCATCTGTATTCCTTAAAACCAAAAATTCTCCTGCCCCCTCTGAGAAACAAGGCCAATAAAAAGTGATGACAATGGTACCACCAGAATTGACTTCAACCACAATTTACTTAGTTATTAATCTCAACTATGGGGAAGATTCACACATCACATTCTCCTCAATATCTTTCCCCTTACCTAAAGCTTCAAAGAACAACCTCCCTCCCCCATAAGCATAAACAAATACTGACTGGGATAAGAAAAGATGCACATAATGTTCATTCTTTCCTTACTTCCCAACCCATTTTCCATATTCTCCTACACAAAGAAAGATCACTCCTAGATCAAAACAACTTGTGAAATACAGTTCATCAAGCATTTGATTGAACTCTATTCTTTATAATAAAAAACAAACAAACAAACAACAAATAGGGCTGGATTTTATTCAGGATACAGTATGGGGTTTGCTGAGAGAGCCCTGAGAAGGAAGAGCTATCTTTCAAGACTACATTTATGGCCAAACTAGAAGTTAATTTGGTAATTGTTGCTTGTATGCACTTTCCTTATTAGCATCTGTGTTTATGTTTAATTGTTGATTGTGCTGTGGCTTTTTTTTTTTTTAAGATTTTTTATCCTGCCTTTATTATTTCTTAAAAATAGCTCAAGGTGGCGGACGAACTCAGTCCTCCCTCCTCCTCCTATTTTCCCCACAACAACAATCCTGTGAGGTGAGTTGGGCTGAGAGAAGGGGACTGGCCCAAAGTCACCCAGCCGGCTTTCATGCCTAAGGCGGGACTAGAGCTCACCGTCTCCTGGTTTTCTAGCCTAGTGCCTTCACCACTAGACCAAACTGCTCTCTATAACTGGCTTTATTGCTGTACTTTGTCTACTTTTAGGAAACAGCCTGAAAACATGTGGGTATTTTATTTCATTTCACTTTTATTTTGGAAGGCAGCATAAAAATTCATAAATTTATAGGGTTTATTTCAACAAGTAGAGTCTCCTTAGCACAGTGTTTCTCAACCTTGGCGACCCTTCTCCTTGCTGGCTGGGGAATTCTGGGAGTTGAAGTTCCTGTCTTCACGTTGTCAAGGTTGAAAGACACTGCCTTAGCAGATAGAAGGAAATGAAGAGAGGGGAATAGGTACAGCAATTAATTGGTTCTGAGTCTGAAACGCAGAGAGTAAGTTCAATGGGGAAAAAAATCAAGTATCTTTTGCATCTGTTTTATTTGGTAAGAAATTAACTTCCCTCCACAGGGTAACTCTGAAAGACACATTGGTTTGTGATGAAGAACCTCTTTGCCCATCCAAAACAATAAGAAAATCAATATAAATGAAAATGTTTAAACAGCACAAACTAGACACTGAAATGCACTTGCATGGATGAATGCAATGAAATAACTTTATATCACAGCAATGGTACAGAGCATTGAAAACTGTGAGATAACAGAATTTAAATCAGCATTCCATAGTATTACATACATTAGCTTAAAAAGTGCACACACATACCTGGCTTTGGTACAGAATTGGTCACCGACTGAGGAACTTTGTCATTAATTAGTTCAACACATTCGCTAGGAAAGAATCCCACCTGTGATGACACACACAGACCAAAAAAAAAAAAAGACAAAAAGAGAGCTTGTATCCATAGGACATTTAAGCAATTTCAACAGAATCATGGGATAAAGACATGTCCTGATGATTTTGTAAGAAAATGATTATTCCAAACTCCTAGGTAGTTTTAGTAAAAAGAGTGTTCTTTATATGTTCTGCTTTATATGTGAAGAGAGCAGGTGCTTCTTAGCCTGGATCTCATTTTACTCTAGCTGTTTTGCCTGTCCAGCGCAGCTTCCCCAAGACAGACAGGTATTACTCTTTCAAGTGTTACACACTTGACTTGATTCAGTGGTTTCAGACAAGGGGTAGAATCACGTCTCCACATTTTAACTAGAGGGATTTTGAAGGTCTAAAATAGCATAATAAATTCTTCTTCTCTTCAATTTTATCTTACCCTGACATTACTCAGGAGGGTTTTCAAAAATTCTTCCCAAAATTTATGAGAACAATACATTATAAAACATATTAGAGAGTAATTTTTTAGAATGAGTATCCATCCAACTGCAACTTTTAGAGCCTGCAGTATTAACTAACCTAACAGTTGGACATACCTGAAATCCATGTTTTCCCCTCCACCAAGTGGTCAATTCTTTTGGAGGCATATCAATAACAGAAACAATATCTCCAACCTGGAAATTAACAAATGAAATATTTTCTCATTGTGACTTGAAGCACCACCTTGTTGATAAAAATGTATATTTTATTGGGAACACAAAACCCAAATGCCTTTTAAATAAATAGTACTAGTTCTCACCTACTATTTATGTACATATGAATTTAAGTATGCATTATGAGTGCTACACAGCACACATTTTATATGTTCATGTTGGATAGCAGTTAAAAGATAAAATAGGATTCTGGTTAAACTGAAAGAATAGCCGTACTGGAAACCTAAGTATATAAGGAAAGAATATCAAACAGACTAATTACCTAAAAATTTGCACTTGTCTATCTGTTTCTCTGCCCTCATTCTTAAAGTTAAGTTTAGAATGACCAATGTATTTTTTTCCAAATTAGAATTAATATATAGTAAGAAAATGTATTTTTATACAAGCAAGATGGAAAGATAACAGAAGACCTTCAAAACTTCTTTGGTCAGTTGAATAACACAGAACAAAAAGTTGGTTTTTTCTGGGCATGCACTGAAGTTGTTATATATTTATCCTCCTATTATTTACCTCAAAGGACAGTTCATCTGCTGCCTGGGCAATGTATCTCTTAATAACGTGAGCAGCTGCAATAGCAGGAACATTAATGGATGACTCCTCATGAACTAGGAGGCGATTCCCCTTGTTATCAATCTGCAATACAAGAGAAGGCAGATGGCGAGAAAGCCAAGGATGTAAAGCTTTATTTTATTAACAAATTTATGGAGGAAAATTTCATGCTGATTTGTAAAGACAGTAGAGATGAATGGACTTTCTACTGAAAAACTTCAGGCACTGTCTGTTACAAGATCAAAACACTGTGCAGTACAACAACCCCCTGCAGAAAGTACAGTTCTGTTTTATAGTGGTTCCTTAGAGAGCAGTCCCAGTCTGTGGTTGAAGAGGAGAAGAGATCCTTGAGGTGGTCTCTCCTTTCTGGAGCACCCCAGGGCTTGGTCCTTCCTCTTCTATTTCTTAACACCTATGTGAGGCTGCAGGGGGAGGTCATAATAGGTTTGCATGGTGGTATCATCAATACATTGTACACTGCTGTCCTAGGCTGTCCAGGAGATGCTGTCAACAACGTGACTCCGTTTCTAGAGGCTGTGAGGGTTTACCTAGGACAAAACAGGCTAAAGCTGAACCCAAGCAAGATGAAGTTAGCTGTCTGTTCACTACAGGTTTCTGGCATCTCCAGGGTCGCCTCTTGGTGTAGTGTCACTACCCTTGAAGGAGCAGGTTTGTGAACTGGGGTTCCTACTGGACTCAAAGCTGCTGCTACACTGACAGGTGGAGGCCGATGGGGGAGGGGGATGCCAGTAGTGTGCCAGATGCAGCCCTATCTGGAATGTGAAGCTCGGGATAAGTGACTCAAGCCCTCATTACTACTCACCCAGACTACTGCAAGGTACTCTACATGGAACTGCCTTTGAAAATCTCAGCAACTTACTCTCAGCTATAGACTGAGAAGCTGAAAAACATCTATCAATCAAAATATACTACACCAGCACAGTGCTTATATGGGCTATAACTTTCAATGAAGAGGACTTTTTGCTGCAGAGGATCGATCCAAGATGACCTGTACAATTAAGGATTAGGATGTACTCCTGCTTTTGTTTTGTCTCGCCTAAGAGCAGAGGGCATGGCCGGCAATTTCTAATTTAAAAACATTCCATACTTCCACCCAATTTGCAATTGGCACAGTTGTAGACACAAAGCATTTGATAAACTGGGGAGAAGGTGAAATTCTCTACACAGGCTATTGTACCTCCATCCATGTGAGAGCAGGACCGCAATTTATCTTGTTGCCGGCAATGGCTGAGAGTCGGGACAGGTAAGCCATCAGCATCTGGGTAACAAGCTGCAAAGGATGAGGAAAGAGTACCATAATTCTACTGATGCAGAGCATCCTGAGTCCTATATATTAGGATGACGTAACTGAAGCAAACTATCTGAGTGTGTGCGTGCGTCTGTCCGTCTATATTACAATTCTCTGAATTATCTGTAGAACACTCTATATGCAATCCTGATCAGGTTTTCTTGGAAAGCCAACTGACAAAATGTTAAGCCAAATATATATATATATATATTTCTGATTTTCCTATACAGTTCAGAGATCAATAAAATTAGCAATTCAAAGATACCTCCCTCCCAAAAATATTACTCCATAACTATAATTTTTCAGATAGTGACAAAACTTCATTATTTTACCTCTGGATTATCCTTCAGGGCATCAGAACGAGGTAGCTCTGAGAGCTGAGAGAAGCGTCGATCATAAATACAGAGGTGAAGATGTTTATCAAGCACTCTAAAATCTTCATAACTCCGCTTCACAATCCAGCTCTTGCCCTGCAGAGAGAAAAATAAAATACTACAATGTCATTTAATTCATTCATCCATAAATGCATGAGGACTCTGTGAACCTCACTGACATTCTTCCATGAATAATCACGTTTTCACTTAACTAGGCTTTGCTAATCAGTTTCAACTTCTACTTAAAATTCCTTAACTTATTCTATAATATAGTACTTTGACTGAACACCAGTATATCAAAATATAATCTGGGCCACCTTAATATGTCAAATTAAATTAATTCCAGCACCTCTTTTTTAACAGAAAAGGAAATGTAAGCCAGCTAGTTGCAAAATCTTTGAATGCTAAGATATTAGAATTGAAATTGGCATGAATATTCAGGAGTTATTCAAACTTAGTAACAACAAGGGCACCAAGGGCATGAAAATGATACATGACACCACAAGTAACATCTTCCTTGAAGTCTCTGATATCTGAACTGAAATATTTATGCTAGTTGAGGAAACTATTCTGCACATGAAACATGAACACTAGTTTGATCAACAATATTTTGGGGGAGATGCAACATCAAACAGGAGATCTCTCTTGAAAACTAAAATACTATCATGAATAGTATTTCAAAAGCTTCCAAATCCTATCAAACACCACAGACAGCCAGAAAACAAACAAACAAATTAGGAAAGGAATTTAACACAAACAATAAATTTCACACTCATGTTTCGGATTGTGCATAATAAACTACGGCAATCTAACTAAACAAGGTCTCTTAGGCAGCGGTACTTTACTAATGCATTTATTCTACACCCAAATCTGGATGCTTTCTTTCTACATGTTAATTTTTCAAGCCAATCCTTTGGAAATATATTCAACTGTAGATAAGTATCCGAACAATATGTTTGCCGAGGGAAATTATGTTTTAAGAAGCTGGAAAGGAACAAGAGCACATAAACAGGTAACAAAAGAATAATAAAGGGTTTCTAGCATTCAAAATTGTAGTGCTCAACTATTTCTCTTGATTAAATCTGTTTCTGAATGGCAGGATGAAAAATATACAGCTTAAGTCTCTGGCTATTTGAAAAGAGATTTGCTGCTTTCAACACTTTATTACATTCCAGTCTCTCTTTACAGCTTCTAATTTAAACAATTTGCTATCAGTCACATTCCATGTGAAATATATAAATACAATAGGTCAGGGAGGGAGGGAAAGAGATTGAGATAAGTGGTGGCATTTCTGATGTCAGAATATTGAGTGCAAAAACTGGACATAAATCTGTACCATGCAGCACTTTTTAGTAGCACTACATTTGAAATACTTAACAGCCAAAAAATGAAAACTGCTAAGGAAATGGATTTGTATCTCTTTGTGGATAGGTTGTGAACCATCTACCAATATAATTAATGGCTTTCTCTCCTCTTGATGACAACATCTGCTCTTCAGTGTGTCACTTACTGGTTTAATAGCATCTTTCATCTATGCATCCTGAAATTATTTAGAGTTCCTCAGTGCCAATAACTTTATTTTACTAAGAGCATGACTGTTTCAGAGTGGCAGATAGGTTTACTCAAGGTCACTGAAAAAGATACAGCAATGTAACTTTTTAGGTTAATAGGTACGCTGCACTGAGAACGCTCAGCCAGATATACTGTTAATCAGCAAAGCTTTCCTGTTCTTTATAAGCAATTGCACTGGGATAACTTGTTACTGGTGAGTTTACTGTAAAGAGAAGAGAGGAAGTTTTAATCACAGCAGCTATGAAGACTTCTCTAGAAACATCTGAGAGCAGGATCTTTTCATATCTACCACTGATGACCTTAGGTTCCAGAGGAGCAAGACCTTCTGTTTAGTGCTAAAAAAGTAAAACACTGATAACCATTCCCCATATTACCATGGATGATGCATTAAAACCTTTAGTTGAGAACGATCTCCACTGACATTTTGTTGCATTTCCATAATTTGAGTACAGCCTCTCCCAGTCTGGTGATCTTCAGATAATTTAGGCCCAAAATTGTCATACAAAAGGCCATGTTAATTAGCAATTCTGGCAGCCATAGCTCAAGTGCCTTCAAAAAGCACCAGTTTGTGAAAATATGACCTAATATGAAATAGTATGAAACCTGTTAGGTGGAAATAGAACAAGCAAGGTAACTTTTTCATTTGGTTGAAAATTTTGAAGCATGGGAACCCTGAACAGACTGTCCAGAGAATGTGTTTGATTTAAGAAGACATTATCACCATGTCTAGAGTAAACCCTAAAAGTCTGAACAGTAAAAGGTCATCTAGAACCAAGCTGCTACGAGACAGTGTCTTCTCTAGATAGTTGGGCAGCTTAAATATTCAGGATTTGCACAAATTCACATCTTAAAATTCTAAACACTGCCTCCAAAAGATTATTCATTATAACAAAAATTATGGTTATTACTGTAGGTAAAGCAACCAATTGTACCTGAAATACAGGAGCAACATATTCTGGGGAAAAAAAGATGGTGCCAAACCTGTTTATTGCATGCCCAGATTCTCTTGAAAGTTAATAGTTCTAATTATAGGCATCAAAATGAATAGGCATTAAAATAAGATATCCTAAGAAACAGCAGTATGACCTCACATACAGGTTGTCCCCAGTTTAAGAACACGTTCCATTCCCAAGGTCCGTCCTTAAGTCAAATTTGTATGTAAGCTGTTACAGTACTGTCGTATAATACTGTATAAGTAGTATTGTGTATTTAACTCCAACCATTGTGTATTTAACTCAAATCACTGTGTATTTAATTCAAATTTTGTTACAAAAGGCTCCATTCCTAACTATGGGTCGTCTGTAACCTGGGCATTCTTAATCCGGGGACTACCTGTACATCAAATCTGTATCTCACATAGTCAAACACTCCTACAAGTCTAATTTACTGTATTTCAGAGACAGAAGGGGGGAGCAGTAAAGCCAACCTACAGACCTCAAGCAAAAATAATAAGAGTTTTATCAAGTCTATTTCCAGTTAGTTTTACTTAGGCTTACACTGTTGTTGCTACTATCATTACAAGTAAATTATTTATATATTATTATTAAAAGAAGTTTTGTTCGGTTTGGAACTTCGCTTTTGCTGGCTTGGCCACTGCTACAACTGTTCTCACCTTAAGAAATTAGTATACTTCAGCATTCAGCAGCTCAAGCCAGGCATGTTTTATTTACCTCAAATTAGCTTATTTGGCAGACAGCCAGGTTATTACATTGCAAACATTCCAGCCGTGCAGCCTTTCCAACTCAGAGGAACATTCCTGCTCGTTTACTTCACAGCTACGCCATTGGCTATGCTCTTGGATGGTCTGCATGTTCGCAACCACACCTGCAAGTCATGCTTTTCCTTTATTCTGGAATGTCCCATAACTTTTCAACATAGACAGGTAAGTTCATAGTCACATTGTAGCAAGCAAAATAAAATATAGTAATAGTGCACCGGTGCTATTCTGTAGCTATAGTAATTATCTTACTCAGCTATCACCTTCACATTCCAACACAAGCAATTTATTTAATAAATTGTATTCTGACAGCCAACATGTCATCATGCCTTGCTTTTCCTCCATAAGCTGCCATAATTTCACAGCAAGGAAGACAAGAAATCTAAAGGCAATTTGCAGTTTTTTTAAAAAAAAAAACTTTTATAAAAGATATTGTAATGTAAACATTGTAAGTATATTAGAAAGCTTCAGTTTAAATGCTCTCGTTCCAGAAAATGTACTATTATTCTGTTAAAGACAATGCTTGGACAAGCTTGAAGCATTTAAAAATATATGCTACACAGAGATCAGTGGCTGTTTAACAATGAATGTGTTTCCCACATGTTTTGAACTGAATGCTTGAGAGTTACTTTATTCTCTTATCTTACTGCCTTATACTCTCAATAATGCTAATGTAAATAATCCTACATTACAGCTGGCTTTCTGTAGCTTTCTATAGCTGGCAGAGTAGTGTAAAAAAGATTATTTACATTACTTACATAGCCACAGAAAGCTAGCTATGATGTTTTATAGGACAGAATTTCATCTTTATACAGCTGATAAAATTGTATCTTTTATCTTGTTAACCAAATCATACTGAAGAAGATAACTAATTTTCTTATTTACGGTTGTAATATTTACCAACTTGAATCTAACATCAAATTAGTATAATAATGGCCCTAGAAGTATTGTTTGAATCATAAATTAATTTTTATTTTATTTAAGGGAGCGTCTGGTTTGGAATGATTTACCTGTTCTCTAAGATGATCACTAATAACACTTTTTTCTGATGGCTCCATTTTCTGATATTAGGTTGCCTTCTCTATCAAGGCATCTCCTTCTAGAATCCTTGCTTGGCAGTCCAATTGGATCAGTCTTAGGGACCAGGTTAAAACTAATACATTTGTTTAGCCTTTTATTGCTTATACTTTTATTACTTACAGCTTTTCGATTATTATTTTGATCCTACTATAAAGGTACCTTGAAAAGGTAGAACTCATTTAATACCATCTCTGTAACACACTACAACCTACCCAAAGGCTTCTGCACTGGACACACTAGAAAAACTGCAAGATAAACAAACAAACAAATGCTCCTAAATGTGACCCTGTGCAAGGATACCTTGGCATACAAAAACAAAGAGACAGGAATGTCTTCTCCCTTATGTCTTCTACCTTCAAACAGCTAAATAATTACAAAGAATGAAATGTATTTATTTCAAGAGAAATTTTTCAGGTTATTTAAAGCAAAAGAATGATTGGAGCTTTCCCACTGGTTACAAGCCTTACAACAACCATAAAGGGCATGCCATTTTTCCCATCAGAGCGAGGTAGCTCCTCATGAACATGCAGCAAACCACTTATGAAGCAGCTTGCAAGCCTAGAAAAGATGTGGCTCCTTTGAGGATTCGAAAGGAAGAGGCTCCATGCACACTCCCGCACGAAACAACTGTCTTGGGGACTGTGGCTTATTTATGTCTAATATTGCATTGATGGTAGAAGAGAATCAAACTGGAAACTGATTTTGAGTTCAGTTACAGCTACTACCAGGAAGAAAGCAATAACAAACCACTTCTGTTTTGGCCAAAAAGCAACAACGGGGACATGTCCATGCAGTTACTGACTTTGCCTTTACCTTCATACCTATTATGTTATGGTGGGACTCAGTTTGGTATAACCTTTCTCTCCAATTTACAGTTAAACACCACCTTACTCCATGATAAAGAACTGCCAAGGTACATCATTCACTGAAACAGTAATTGCTAGCCTTTTGTCTGGTATCTCAATAGAACTGCCTAATATCTCTTCAGACTTAAAAGGGAGAGAAAAACCAAGCTGGAACAAATGGCTGCAGTTATCAAAGCTAAAACACTGTTCAGTGTGATGAAAACAAGGAAAATAAATCTAGCAAGCAAGTCTGACCTGAAGTTTAGCTTAGCTAAGAAACAGAAAAGCCTTTAAATGTGCAGCCACTGCAAAGAAAATACAGAATACATGAAACAAACAACAGATGTGCTGGAGATGTTTTGTCCATGTTCATACACTGTAGATTCGTCTGTGAAAAAATAGATGTTCCATATTTGGGCAACTACAGGAGAAATAACTAATATGGCAAAATTGGCTAGCCAATAAATTAATCCCAAATTTACTTCTTAGCTATTTAATTCCTAGACTCGCCTTAGCAGAAACTATTTCCCCCGGTTTTCAATATATAATTATATACCACTTTCCAACCCAATTTAATCCTCCAATGCAAAGTTCAAACATTACTGTTTATCAGTTTGGTGGTGGTGGTGGCGGTGGCGGTGGTGGTCGTGGATATCAGAACACTTCTCACCAAGCAGCTTATCCATAGGGTCACTTTTGATAGAATGCTAAAGGTGACCCTGTGCAAGGATACCTTGGCATACAAAAACAAAGAGACAGGAATGTCTTCTCCCTTATGTCTTCTACCTTCAAACAGCTAAATAATTACAAAGAATGAAATGTATTTATTTCAAGAGAAATTTTTCAGGTTATTTAAAGCAAAAGAATGATTGGAGCTTTCCCACTGGTTACAAGCCTTACAACAACCATAAAGGGCATGCCATTTTTCCCATCAGAGCGAGGTAGCTCCTCATGAACATGCAGCAAACCACTTATGAAGCAGCTTGCAAGCCTAGAAAAGATGTGGGTCCTTTGATGATGTATGGGGAAAGCAGGAAAAGGAGTAGAATTTCTCACTCATATCCAATCTTAGGTGGTGGAGTGGAAAAACAATGTTGTCTGGTTAGTCAAAAGCCCTTCTCATTTGTTTCAAGCAACTCTCTGATGATAACTTAAATATAGCATGTTAACATCAAGAGAGAAAAAAAATTAGGAAAACTCATTATGAACTCTCTCCCCCTTCCCACCTTTCCCCTCCCCCGGAAAAAAGGAAGGTATTTCTGGACCACTAATATTTAGTGGGACTAGAAGTCAGAGAATTTCAAGTAGGTCATGTTAAAGGTGGAGTGTGTGAAAGCTGTAGATTTTTTAAAAGTCTACTTATCAGCTACAGACTAAGTTGATAAATTGAAGTGCATTCAGCAAGCTACTCACTGAAGGGAAAGAAACAAATTTTCCAGTCCAGAAGTTTTAAACGGCTATTGCTAGAATGACTCATTTCTTTTGCTTTCTACAATGCTCCTCTCATTTGCAACAAAATGCTTCTAAGCAGCCAGAGCCTCTGAAAAGTACATGGATATATGCCAAACTAATAAGCTAATTTCTGGGCCTAATTTAACCAATGACACTCTTTTGCTAGCACACTTGGTTTTTAAGAAGATTTTATATATTTTGATGACAAGCCCAAGACTTGTGTTTAGGTTAAATATTCACGTTGATTTCCTTTTGTGAATAGGTGGCCTTTTTTGCCCTGATGTAGATTACTGCTTCAAAAGTGGCAGACATGTTGACTAGGAGAATGTCAACTTTTGTCTCTATTAGGAACAACAACATTTGCTTAAGGCCTGGCTACAGATTACATATCAGCCCTAGCAAATGGGCATTGTATACACATAAACAGATTTTTTTCCCTCTCCTACAAGAGGAAGTGTGCTGTAATTAATCAAACTTGCTGTATTCTTAGAAAGGTGTTCCTGGGACAGATAATATTTAAGTTTGCCTCAAATCAAGTTCAATACAGCATACTATGTGTATTGGTTATTGATAACTGGTCTATAAATAACAAGAATGCAGATAAAATCCAAGATAGATGAAGAACACCATAATGAATCAGCTAAAACTGTTAAAACAACCTTTCTGTTAAAATCAGCAGAGCTTAAAACAGTCCTCTCCAGAATATCCTTTTAAAAAAAGTTGAGAAAACTTCATAGCAATATAAATATTAGAGGAAGAGGTGGACTAAAAAGAAAATCTGGCAGATGAACAAGAAGGCGAAAGAATATTCTGTAATTGGAACTACAGTTCAGAAGACCTCTTATGATTAACCACTAGGTATATCTCAGTGCCTGAGCTCAGGGGTATGCAGAATATTGCAGCTCAAATCCACAAAGGCCTTTATAGGTTAGCACAAATATTCAAATTCTCTGCCCTGTAGCACAAGGATTAAAATTCTAAACCTCTAAAGCTGTTTTCTGCTTCCAGCATGAACTGTGAAAGGCATGCATTTTCAAGGTTGCAATTAACGTCCTCTGAGATTTTCTCATCTGCGAATTAATAAAACCCACCCTCCCTCTCAGGTGATGGTTGTGTTGTCCTTTCTCTACGCCAGTCATGGCACAGAACATGGGAGCCATGCCTTGCTATATCATATAAGGAGAAGAGACCCCCCCACACACACACACACACACCAGAACACCTTTTGCCCTTGAAAATTCTGACTAGAATTACTGTGCAGGTTTACATCAGATACAGAGATCACGATGAAGAACTAAAAGAACTCTGTTTCTTTCCATCAAAGAGAGATGGAAAAGAGTACATCCTAAACTAAATTCCAGCCCTGACTATCTCCTTCCAGCCCTGGTATCTCTTTTTTTGACTTGGATTTTACTGAATGTATCTGGGTTTAGCAATAAGCTTATTCATGTTTCCTTTTCCAATATTCTCAGGATGCTGAATTCACAATCCCAAATTCCACAAATAAGATAATTGTGAAAAACCATAGCCCAGATAACTCTACTTGACTTTCTCACACTATAGCTGGATCTCTATTTATTAGACCACTGTGTGTGAGTGTGCCTAAATACCAGATTTGCAGAAATGTGGGACTTTTTAACAGCTCTAAAAAAAATCAGATATGCTTAACATTTTTACCTCAGTACTATTCAGTTAGAGCCAATGCATATGAATCCAGTTGGATGCAATAAAACTTTATCAGCTATTTCATGCATTTCAAAATTTTCATTTTCAGTTGACAAAATTGAGGCACTGTGGTTTCTATGAGATGGCCATGAATATTCAGACTTTAAATAACCATGAAATCTCAGCGTCTTCGCTTCTCCTTTGGGCATTTGTATATGTATACATTATATTAATCAACAAGGTTTTTTTTTTGGAATATACATATTGAATAAAAATGGACAAAGAAAAACTTCAGACATACTATACAGACTTAATAAATATTAAATAGTCAATACATGACTTCTCCCATTTCAAAACAACGTTATTCCACCCCCACCACCCCCATCCCCAGTTTGTTAAGACAGCATGAGATACAACTTTCCTAAAGTTTATGATAAGGAGCAAATGTGGTTTAATCCACATTTTTTATTTTTAGTCTCCTAATCACAGAAATAATTCCTTTCTGATTTATCTGCACCAGCAAGAGAATGTTAAACTTGAAAATCAAACTGAAAGACATAAATGCATCAGGTATAACCAATCCCATAAGTATACACTCATCTCTACCCATCAAATAGCTTTGTTCAACATTATTAGTTGCAAATTATTAATAAGTTAGCATAGGTTGTAAAAACATATTGACTAAAGCCTGAACCATCACTTCATTGGATATTAAGTAATACAATTTAATTTCTCACTATATGCAGGTCCAATAAAAACAAATCTGTGCTTCCAGGAGAAGTGGATCCAATTTAGTAGTTACTCAGAAGTTTTGTGAAGCCCAATATTAACTTCACATAATATAAACAATGGGAAATGTGTGAGAAAAAGAATCACTCAAGCATCATTCAGCTCATGCATTTTCATAAAATCAAGGGAACAGGAGTCATATTATTTACCTGACAAGAGATTTGTACTAGGTAGACAAGTTCCTTGGACTCACAGCCATTTCTTGTTACTTCATTCTGTTCCTCCGGGAGTGAAAGCTATTCCAAGCAACCAGCAGGGTGGGGGAAGGGGGGGTGTTGAAGAAGGGAGAGACAGAAAGACTAGGTCAATTAACAAAGATAAGCCAAGCATATAAAAAGTAGAACATTTAAATCCAACTTGCTTCAAAATGCATTTTATATCAAAGAAACCATATTTGTATTTATGTTTATATTTATATTTGGTTTTGGGTTTAATAGATTGGAAACATTCTACACTCAGGTATAAATCCAATAACATGCATCTTGCTAAATCAAACTTCTTAAAAAGCCAGTACAGTACAAGTAAGTTTTAGAAGTTAAAATTCCTAGTAATCAGATGTTTTAGTACTAGATTCATAGAAACATTGTGACAAATCCATCAATATTCAAGGCAATCTTCTATCTAGACATTTAATCATCTTTAAAGATTAAATAATAAAACGTTTCCAAATGCCAATATAATTTTTAAAAAACTGTAACATGATACTTTGTAGCAGAATTCAATAAATGTAAACAGTCTTCTGAAATGCTTTATTCAAGCAATCAGGTTTCTGGTAAGAATTCTCCATCATCTGTGGTGGGTGAGTTGGAAGGACCGAAGAAAGGCAGGCATAAAAGAAGGTGTATCCAGTCATTCTAAGCTCTGTCTCTCCCAGAACTACTGTCCTACTGATTATATAAATTTTCATCCTCATTATAATTTTTATTTATATGTTGCTTTGCTGCTTAAAAGGCATTTAACTTGGATAAAACATTGTAACAAAATATCTCAGTATCCTCAGTTTACCAGTTCTTACAGGCCCTGGACTGGCTCCAGGTGGCCCATTCAATCCTGCTGGAGGTAAGGGATTGTAAAATGGTTTCCTATCACAGGTCTTCCTGATCTATGATATATTCCCACATATATATCCTTTGCTGTCCTTCGCCATGACTTTTGGCATGATCTCTAAGCCCTTTGGTCTTGAGTTTTTGCTTCATCTCAAAAGTTCTAATCTACTCCTGGGCTATAATTCCTCCTGTGTTCTAACTTCCCAATGTAACTCCTGTTACAGGTCATTTCAGACTGATACCTGGGACTTAGCATGACACTAACAAACAGTAAGGTATGAGTCCCCCATTGCAGGGAGATGGGCGGGGATAAGTCTATGTATAAATAAAAATATAAAAATATAAATAAATATGAGATTATTCCTGTTTGAATCATTTGCTTTCTGTGGGCATGCAACTGCTAGTAACATTCAGCCAAAGTAGAAATGAATGGAAAGGTTGATACTTTATCTGGCAATAATATCCTATTCCATCATGTAGTATGGAATTTTATATTTTCCAAAATGGAAGAATCTAAGCTTGCGAGTCAGCATGCCAAACAAATGTTCAGCTGGCACTAAGATGAATCTATAAGGAAAAAGCAAAACAAGTGCTTTTGGATTAAACAGAATGACCAAACTGAAGCTTAATCCAAATAAGACTACTGATGTACTATGAGTGGGGAAACCTGTTAATCTGAAAGGGGATTCAACTGAAGCTGGATGGAGTTGCAGTCCCATTTATGCAGATTCACAGTATTTTTAGATTTGACCCAAGTTGCAATCTGATCAAGGGAAAAACAGCCTGAGATTGTTCAGCCCTAATGCAATTAATGCTTGCCAATCACATGTGGTGCTGTGCATTGTGCTGCCTTTCTAGATGATTCAGAAGCTTCAACTGAATGTGGGGAGCTCAAAAATACTGCAGTGATTTGAATCCCCCATCAACTAGTTACAAATTGCCAAATATCATCTATACCATATTTTACCAGCATGACACATGCCATTCAATACTTCCTGCTAAGAATTTATCACATTCAGTATAGATGTCTATCACTATTACCTCTTCCTACTGCAACTCAATGGACAACGTATCTTTTTCTCCAGTTGAGAAAAAAATGTAGGCTTCCCATTTCCACAAGCAGAAAAGTGCAAGTGGCTTTTTATTGCCATGGAAAACTGTTTAATGGCTGACAATCCAGCCCAGTTAAGATACTAAATGAACAATGGCTGTAGAAGAGCAGCTGGCGTTTTCACACAAACTGTGTAACAGATATTACCATCACAGTAAAGACAGTAATGAACTGCCTAAGGAAACTAAAATTGTAATCACATTCTTAACTGAAAATAAAGGTCACACCACAAGGCATGTTACACACAATAATATGCAGATAATCCTGTCCTTAAAAAATATACCACAAAGAAAGCATGCAAAGTACCAATCCAGGAAACCATTTGTGGGCTGCAGAGGAGTAAATTTTCCTGCCTTGATTCTAGAATACCCACACACATACCCCACGCTATTAAAAGAATGAGGGGAAATATCAAGCTTGTGCAAGATTTCTAGAGGCTATCCAAATGCCAACAGAGAGACTGTTCAGATTGAATGATCTCTCAAATGAAGACATTTAAGATAATCAAGCAAATTCAGTTTCACTGCTACAAACACAATATTCATATATTGGGTGCCCAGATGATCAGGCTTTTCTGCAGGCAATCCAATACCCTGATAAAATCTCCCCTGGCCATTACACATTTGTGACATGCAGAGATTTGGGGGTTCATGTACTATTTATGTACATCATCCACTATGCAAGTTGGCATGAATGTTATGTGAAAGCTGGGACAGAAATTTAGGATACACGAAACTGCCTTTTATCAAGTCAAATCATAGGTCCTTCTACCCTGACACCAATTTCAACTGAGAGCCAGTAACCTTTCTACACATGGAGACACTTCATTACCGAGAATCCATCACCACTGATTGGGACTGCTGGAGTTACCATTCAGCAACATCTGAAGGACTGCACACCCTAATTTATGCAAACTGGCAGGATTTTTTTATCTGGATATGTTAAGAGGTTGAATATATTATCTTCCACATGCAAAGCATGTGCTCTAAATCACAGAGCTGTAACTCTTCCCTAATTTAAAGTTTCCTTTACTAGATAAGGTCAAGCTCTAGTTGATTACTGCATCCAAACCCACAGCTTGTCAACAAGCTATTACCATTGCTAACATAGCAAATAAACACTGATCTGTTCCTAACTAGGGAGGACATTATGCAAAACCAAGGCATGAATGAATATCCAGCCAGCCTTGAGCGACTGGGCGCTATATTTGAACTAGGCCTGTCAAAAAGATTACAAAATACCAACAGAATTTTGTTACTATGAAGCTGGCCCTAATTTTATGATGTCTCAAACATAAAAAACAGCCATCTTCTTTGACTGCTTCCTTGTACAAACCCTTCTGGGATTATTCTACTTCAGATAAAGGAAAATAAAACGTTTAATGCTTTCCCATGTAAAAAAAGAAAAGAAAAGCAAAAATTCTGACACATCTACAGTGGAGCAAAGCTGTTACTTCTCTCCAGGAGAAATGTGGTAATTCACATAAAGAAAACTCCTCTTGGGGAGTGAGGAAACAATATTAAAAAACACATTTCCTACAAGCGATCTGGAGGAGCCAGAGATTAGTTATAGCCCAAGAAAGACTTGTGTGATTTTACAGAACCGGTAGCTCAGCTCTGGAAGAAAGACAAGAACTACACCTATGAGAAACAAATGCCACACAATTGTTTCAGATATTTACATAAACTGTTTCCACAGTGTAAATTTAGGAATACTTTACCAATCACAATACTGGAAAAGCAAAGTCACTGAAAATAGAATAACTAGTAGATGGAAGTGGGGTTTTACAACAGAAATCATTCTGACAAAGCTTTGCACATTTATGAATACAAGATCTATTAAGCAATGAATACCTGAAGATTAGGGTAGAACTGTGTGTATGTGTGTGTGTGTGTGTGTGTGTGTGTGTACACAAAGAAATAAACGGTGGAACCAAAAGAGGTGATGAATTTCTCATCATTGCATTGCTTCACAACACATTTTTGGAGAAGATTTGAATAAATGGTTGCCTAAAGGAGCAATACCTGCGCCTATATCTCTACATCAGCTGCCCTCTCTTTACCATCTGAATCCAGTCATTCTTACTTATCATTCTTTAAATGCCATTAACCAGGTTTCTGAAGGGCCTTTTCTGCAGTGGTCAGGAACAGGTTTCATTTGGGATGTGTCAGGTCTTATGTTTGCTCAGGCATTCCCCTGAATGGACTTTAATGCTCTATGCAGGGCAATATATTAACTGTTATTGTATGGTGGTTTTTATTATAATGCTTATGCTCTACTTTTCATTCTATCTATATTTCTAAGTCATCTTGGGATACTTTTTACTCTTAAAATGGACCTAAAATATTTTAAATAAGATCAATTATGATCCTCTGCTCAATCTTTAACCTCAAATTTCCGCAACCCAAAGAAGGTTTTCTCTCTCATCCACTCTTAACATATGGCACACAAGGGCCTTTTTCTCGCTGCCAGCTTTTTTTCTACACCACACAATCTGAAAGCAATCAAGGTTTTTAAAAGCTCATCTCCAACAGAAACACTGAAACATACAGTACGTCAAAGTTTTCCTGTAGCCTGCTTCCAACAAACTTTACTTTTATAACAGTGCTGCCATATACAAACGTACAGGACATATGCATAATGCATTCTGTATCAAATCATGTGGGTACTAGAAACGAATGTAAATAAAATTATATGTAAAAATACTATTCCTTCTAGCTGGTTTCCAAATGCTGTCATTTCTTTGCAATTTAAGAAGACTGAAATTGTTATTTGAAGCAATATGAAATACTGAAATTAATTTTATTACCTCTATATTTTATCATAACTTTGATTATAGGCACCAATTTTACAATGCATCAAAAATCCATCATCAAAAGGTTAATCTTCAAACTGAATAGAGGAAAAGAAAATGGATTTCATTTTTCCCTCAGTTTTTGCAGCTGAGGTTCATATAAAAAAAAAAACTCTTGCTACTACACTAAGTAATAGCACACATGGAAGTTAATAAAACCTATTGATTCTCTTAAAAGGCACCTTTAAATGCTGCCACACTCAAAATATTTCCCTGCTGCTTCTA